CCACACACACACACCACACTCTCTCTCTCTCTCTCTCTCTAATAAATAAAAAAAAATTAAAAATAAATAAAAAAAATCATAGAAACAAACTAAGGTGGTTGACAAGGGCAGAGAAGGTTAGTATAACTATTTACTTCATATAGAGTACAAGTTTATCATTTAAAGCATCTGGAAAGATGTGACTGGGAGAGTTGTACAAAACGAAATACAGTTCTCAACACATTTGTATAACAGTGAATAAACATAAGTACTACAGAACTGTAACATCCTTCAAACAGTTAACATGAGAAATTCTGTGATTTTTTTCAAAAACATGTTTCTTAAAAATGAAAAGCACAGAATGTTGTTAGCATAGAAAAGGAGCTCTTCAGAGCAACTACAGGGTTATATAGTCAACCATTTGAAATGTCTGTAAAGTGTAGATTTATGGATCCTATTAGTGAGTCAGACACTTTCTGAGTGTTGCCTGGGGATCTATATATAAAAAGCTTCCAGGTGACTGGATTACATATTATTTTCTAAAGTGAAACTGCCTGGCTTTGAAACTCCACCTACTTTCACTTTTGTTAGAAAGAAGTCACACCAAAAACTTTCCAATTCTCTTAGCTCAGACCACTGAAGCCTGTCTCACACATTTTCACTACCTTACACATAGGCTACCATTGTTTTGGGGTCAAAAGCATCCTAATGAAATTTTTATTGAACAAAAAAAGCCTAGGTCTGCTGCTGGGCATCATGGAACCTGTTATCCCAGGATTTGGGAGTCTAAGGCAGGCAAGCCTGGGCCACAAATTTCAGGCCAGCCTTAGGTACATGGGTTAGTAAGACCCTGTCTCAAAAAGCAAAGCAAGTGGACTAAGTGCCTAAGCATAGGGACCTGGGTTTGATCTTCAGCACGTCAGCCCTGGTCCCACCCTCAGGTGCACTGAGCTGTGGTCAGCTCAACCCCTGGGCCCAACCCACAGACCGGGATTGGTGCTGCATGCCTGTGATCCCAGAGCTGGGGAAGCTGAAAACAGGAGTATCAGAGGTGTAGTGAGACCCTGTACCAAATACATGGAGGAAAAACAAAACAAAAAAAAAGCAAAAAGCCTAGGTAGGACTCACTAGTTCAATCTGACCATGCCTTTCCAGGGCAGTTAATGTATCCAGAGAACAAGTACTCCCTCTTTCATTCAAGCAAATTAACCCAGAACACAACCCTGCTAACTATAATCAGTATCTCCCCTCCCAATTTAAGTCTCTACCAGTATAGTAACTACTACTTTAAATGTGTACTTCTTATAAGATTGGTAGTTTGGTCTTTTTCTTTCTGAGACAGGGTCTTGTTCAGGCTGGCCTTGAGCTCAGTGTGATCCTCCTGCCTCAGCTTCGCCAGTGCTAATATTACTGGTACATGCCGCCACACCTGGCAAATAAGTAATTTGGAAATAAAAGCTGAAACACTTTGAAACTGCTGTGAAAAACACAAGGAAGAGCTCAACTCTTTAACAATAATAAGCTCTTCCACTCCCAAAGCATTTACATTGAAAGGATTTTGGGTAATGTGTTGTGATTTCCTTGGTGTAAATGACTGAAACTGGTGACTATCTTTGCAACAGCCCCCCATTCCTTTACTGAAAATTCCTTTATTACAAAATTTATAAAGCAGAGAAAGAACAAAATATTCCACCAATTCTAAAATGTTACTTTCAACAGCAAAGATTCTGATTTTCATACTTTCATTTAAATTTAAAAATAAACATTCCCAAAACATTTACCTTCTCCACTAAATTCATCTCATATACAAAGACTAGCAAGGTCTGTTCACAATTCTAACACAGAAAGAACCCACAGCCCTGGAAAATCAGATTATCTTTTTTCACATTTATTTTCTAGTAGACTCCCTCTTCAAAGCTGTCATTTCTTATTTTTATAAAAGCTGATTTAGTACTTCTGGATACAGACTCAAACTATCCACCCACCTCTAAAGCACTAGGATTACAGGTATTACAGGTGTTAGGGGGCTACGCTTTATATTTCAACTTAAAGTACTGTGTGAAATGAGTTTTAGAAATACACTGAGAACATCCACTCTTCTACAGTGTAATGTCAAATATTCTTTAACTCAAGCTATATTGGCCAAGATTGTCCTTTGCTACACAATGCACCCCTCACTTGAGAAAGCAATTAACAAACCAAAAACTCATCATTTCCTAATTCAGATTATACTCATGCTGAATTGTGCCTAACAGCCCACTAGAACTCTCAAAGCTTGGAAAGAAGGGACAATTTTGCTTAAAGTAATAGACTGGTTGCATATCTAAATATGAAAGATCTTCAGAGTGGGGGACCAACTTCCAGAATTCCAGGTGAGGAAAGATGTCTTAAATCTATAGAAAAGCAGCTAGTCTTCGTTTTCTTTTCTTTAAGACAGGGTCTCACTACCTAGTTCAGGCTGGCCTTGAAGTCTTAGTGATCCTCCTGCTAGGATTACAGGCATGCCACCTCACTTCTGTCTGCTACTCACCAAAGAGAAAAAATAGTTGGGCTTTCTAGAAAGTCTTGTAATGAACACCCCCAAATCCCCCATACTCCTTTGTAACCCATCTTTCCTTTCACCCCATGGTCAGGCAAACAATGACCAGGCTTGTCAGATTAGTCTGCATTTTCTAGAGTTTACTAAAATGAAAGTTAACACCTGTGCTTTTGTCTGGCTTTTTTCATCCATTTTGTTATTATTCATATTCTTGTATATATCCATGATTGTTTTTATTGATGGGTAGTATTCTATTCTATGAATGTCTAACAACTCTTAATTCATCTGCCAGTTAATAGAGATTTGTTTTCAGTTGGGAGGTAACTACAATGTTGCTATCAATATTCACATGGAATTCTTTGTATGGAGACATTTCCCATTTTCTTTGGTAAATACAAATAAATGGACTCATAACAGATGTTTTAACTCTTTCACACCCTATCACCAGGCTTGATAGTCCCCGCCCTTCCTAACTTTGTCAGGTTTTTTTTTTTTTTTTTTTTTTTTGAGACAGGATCTCATTATGTAGTTCAAGCTGGCCTCAAGTTGCTACCCTGCTTCAGCTTCTTTTAGAGCTCTCTTACCAAGTTTTGATGTCAAAGTTATGTTAACCACATTAAGATCTGGGGAGTTCGTTCTTTCTATATCTTGGAAGAAAATAATGCAATACTAATGATTTCTTCTCTGAATGCTATGACATTTCAGATGAAATAATCTGGGCCTTAAGTTTTTGTGAGATGATTAATAACTATGTAATTGTTATAGGACTGTGTTAGGTTTTCCATTTCTTCCTGCATCACTTTTGGAAAGGTATTTTTCCACATCTTTGGCATTATCTGTAATAAATGTTTCTTTGGTTAGCTAAGGTCTTCAGTCTTTATTCTTTCTGTACATTTATGCTTAACACGCTTTATAAACAGATTTGGTCGTTACCCAGTCTGTTAATGTCTTTTAACCATGACTTTCACAGTCTATTTACTTTTTTAAAGGACACTAGAGCAGGTTGTAAAGCAAAAAACAAATACTTTCAGGTTTTCAAATTTTTGCAATTTAAAAACAGAAGACTAGTTCGTTAGTGTTAAAAAGTATTAAGTACTAATTCCCCATGGTTATTATGAAAAAAAGTAACTGCTTCCTATAATAACAAAAGGTTAAAAATTCAGTCTGGCACATTGAAAGCACCACGCTAAAACATCCTAAATGCCGGGCGAAAACTTAAAAAGAATGAGGCCTTCCACATTTTTACTACTACAAGGGTTTTTCCCTACAAGGCAAGAATTTAATAGGAACTGCGTTTCCCAATGCGCCTTAAAGTCTCGGGAGCACGTGGCCGACTGGATTCTCTCCGCCAGTTGCTTTTGTCAAGGGTCGGCTACAGAGACAACCAACATTCCTAAAACGGCCATTGGCTCCCAGCCTGGGGCCAGGCTTCCCGCTAGGGCCTTGAAGCTCATTGGTCACCGCCTCTCAATGAAGCGGGCCACGCCGCTCCCTCCGCCACCCTCGCCGCACTTGTGCGCGAGGGAGCCTGGGGAAACCCGTGAGAGACCAAAGCAGACAAGGGGTAGTTACTGATGGTTGCCGCGGTCGCAACAGGGCCCAGACATCCTCAGTATCGCTAGTGCTTCTCTAGGCCTTTAGATTCCCACCGCAAGAGCACGAAAAGGGTTCCTTCGAGCGATCAACGAAGCACACAGGCGCGCGCCGGGGCCGCGATCCTTAGGTCCTGCTTAAGGTATTAAAGGGTATTATGTGCTAGGCCTGCGTCCCGTGAACGCAGGCAGAGCTCCCCGCACCCTGCACTTCTCCGGCCCGCCGCACTCTCTCCCTGGATCCTCCGACTCCGTAACAGGTTACACACCCAAGGTCAAGATTCAGGAGTACACCTCCTCGGTAGGACCGCAAGGTCCGCCCACCGCCCCAAAAAGCCCGGTGCAGAGTGCGTCCGGGCGGTCCCGGGGCCCCGGCACTGCGACACGGCTGCTCCCGCCCAATTCGCGCCGCCCCGGCACCACGCGCTGCCCGCCTCGTCGGCGGCGGGAGGCCTGCTCGCCAGCCCCTCCCCGGGTCGCAGGACCCCGCTCAGAGCCCGCGTCGCGCGTCCCGTCGCTCCCCCTTCCCGTGGAGGGCACGCCCGAATTAGCGCCTGACTAAGCCCGCCGGGCCACACCTGCCGGAGGGAAGCGCGCGGCCCCCACCCCGGGGCTCCGGCGGCCAGTCGGGAGGCGCCACCAGCCGGGGACGCTACCTGAGCACGCGGCCGGGCCGGACTCCCCTCCCCCAGGGCACAACCGCCCAGTCTCGGGAGCGGGAGAAGCGGGCTGCAGCCCGGGTGGGCGCTGCCGCTTGCCCCAAGACCGCATCCTCCACGGCCGCCCACAGGCGAAGGCTGAGCCAGCCGGCCCTGGCCCGAGTCTGGTGCCCGCAGGGGCGGCGACCCCATGGCCCAGCTCCGTCCCGGGAGTCCCGGGAACCCACCTACCTCGGGATAGTGCGAAGATCCCCAGATCCCTGGTTGTCGTCGGGTTGCTGACGGGAGAACCAAACCTCCAGCAGCTTCTCGGTCCCTTCGAAAAAATGTGCAGCTTCCATCACCGTGAGACTAGCGAACAACCAACAACCACAGAAAATCAACTAAATTAAATCTCTTCTCCCGCCGCTGCCGCCGCCGCTGCGGATTGTTCCAGCTGTGTTGCTACAAAGTTCAGGTTCCTTTTTTTTTTTTTTTTTGCTATAATTTTATATTAACTTTTTTAAAAAAAGGATTAATAAAATTTTCCCGGCTTTTTGTGAGCGAAAGTTGAACGTGAGTCTGTTGGAAATAGAGGCAGATACAGTTCAGTCTCTTGTAGTCCGCTGCTTCCCCGTTAAAGAGAGTAGAGCGAGCGCTAGCTAATGTCGCCGGCCATACTGTGTAAGCGAGGGTTCTGCGTGAGAGCGGGACTTTATATACCGTGTCTGTGCGAAAGGACAGGAAGTGACGTATATTTCCGCCTCCAAGACTCATAGGGCCATCCTACTGTCAATCACCCTTCGCCGAATGGCGACTGGCTGGCGGTGGGCCTACGGGGAGTGCCGGGAACTACCCGCTGAGGTGCGGATGGAGCTATCGCTGTCCCTTGAGCGGGAGACGGCGCTGTGGTGTCCGGCTGGGGACTAGGAGCCTTGGGTTGAATCAGAGTGGGTGGGGAGAGCAGGAACGGAGCTAGGAGAGGCTGTAATCGCTCCAGAGAACAGCTGGCTGGAGAGCCTGGGCGCGTCCTTCGGGGTACTGGCTGGCTTTCGGCGCGGGCAGTGGCCCGGGCTGGGGTGGCGAGGTGGTCAGGATCCTGTGCCGTTCTCCGCGGCTGCTGAGGGACTTGGCCATTCTTAGAAGTGTTTCCCCGCGGCGAACGCAGCCAGGCATTAAAACTCCATTTATCCGTGACGTACATGTTGCCTGGGGTCGAATTAGACAGCACTTTAACTCCGCTCCCGCGTTTCTGATGTGCCAACGAACGCACTTCTCGTTTACACAATAGCCAGAAGCGTTGACTCCCTGTTTCAAAAGGGAAAGCAACGTGGCGCCCGGCCTGGGAGGGCTCCGGCTCTACTTACCTCCCACCATGCTGCTCACCGAGCCGGGAATTGGCTGAGCTCAGCAGGCGCCCCGAAGCACTGGCAACCCCGTGCTCCATTAGGTCAGCGGGTGGGAACCTGTTCTGTGAAACTAATCCTAGAAACTAGACGTGTGAATAATGTAATCTGATATTTTCTTTAATTGTTTTAAACTGACGAGCTAATTGAAAGGGGTTCCTTCCAACCCCTAAGTCTACTGTGCTATATCGCCTTTCTATTAGGAAGGATTTACATGGAAATTAATATAACAGGGATTCCAGAGCTATCACTAGTAGTGATTTCAAGAATTATGAATCTAACATTTCACTACTAGGATAAAGTATAAAAGTTGCAGTCAGTTTAATCTGCAGCGGCAAAACTGTGGCAACAAAGTTATGATTTGCTCTGAAATACTAGAGAAACAACCCAACCCGACATAAAAAACGACCATTGTTACAAGACAAAATGGCTTTTCCCTGTTATCCGTAAGAGAGAAAAAAAAAAAAAAAAAAAACTTTCCTTAATGTGAAATAGGTAATGTTAGCAATAAAAATGTGCTGAGAAAGAAGTGGCTGGAGTCTGCACTGTAAATAAAAACTGCCGGGTAGTCCTTGTTTTTCAAAAACATGGACTCAACATGTCTCCATGAAACCTGTTGAAAGAAGCTATGTTGTGAGTTAGTACATATAATTCATTTCTGGTGTTTTTAAAAGCATTCAACTCAAACTGGGGATTGGGATGAAAGATAATAAATGTTGCTCATTTTAATATAAAAAGAGGAAGTGGTTGTTATATTTGGAATAAAGATGAAAGGAGTATTTCTGTGTTTTACAAGCTATTCATTTATATGATGGTTGCTTATTGAAATGAAGAATCTGTCTACTAAACCACCTCAAACACTAATTGTGGTATAAGCATAATTTGGCTTATAATTGCTTATAATTAGTTGCATTTCAATTACTATTATGCTTTTTCCCAATGTAATTTAAGTTACTATAAAAGTGCCAAGACTCTTGGCAAGGTAAGTCTTTGGTAATTTGATATAGGATAATTTTAAATAGTGCCTATGAACTAGTCTGGTCCTTTATAAAATGTCATTTTTCTTAAGCATCATTATCTTGAAGCTCAAAATCTCTTGTACTTATTACTAAATTAGTCAATTAATTTTTGCTTAAACATTTCACTGAGCAGGATACAGACCTGTAATCCTAGCACTCTGGGAGGTCAATGCAAGATGATTGCAAATTGAAACCTAGCCTGCACAACTAAGTAAGTTAGTGAGATTTTTGTCTCAAAACAACAACAACAACAAAATAAAGTGGGAGGCAGCTGTTACTAAAGATGTGGGGTGGTGCTCTGGACATGTGCACTAAGGCCCAGGGTTTAATGCCCAGTACAAATAAATAAACATTATTCTTTTTTCGGTGGAACCAGGGATTGAACTGAGGCCCTTGTGCTTGCCAGGCAAGCGCTTATTCTACTGAGCCATCTCCCTAGCCTTCTTTCTTTCTTTTTGAGACAGGGTTTCAATATGTAATTCAGTCCACCTTTGAACTTACTTTGTAGCCCAGGCTGTCTTCCAACTCACAGTGATCATCCTGCCTCAGCCTGCTGGGATTACAAGCTTGCCTTATGTGTGCTAGCATTCTAGGCATGAACCCCTATACCCAGCCTTCACATACTTTTAGATTGAATTTTTAAAATGACTGTGTGAGCCAGGTATGGTGGCACACACCTGTTATTCCAGCATGGGGGAGGCTGAGGCAGGAAGATCACTGTGAGTTTGAGGCCATCCTGTACTACATAGGGAGGGACACTTTGTCTCAAAAAGACAATCAATCAGTCAATCAACTAAAATGATAGTGTGCTGGAGCTTGCTTCTTCCTTCGAAAGAGCCAACTGTTATATTTTGAGGAATTTGGGGAGCCAATTGAAATCATATTGGTAGCATGCATGGGTATTACTTCAAACAAATTTGCAAACTTAGCAGTCTCAGCACTGTCAGAGGTAGCTGTTAACCATTTGCCAGCATAACACAAGTTGTCACAAATCTGTCTCACTGATGAGGTTGAGATATTGAAAAGTTGTCTGTTGTTTGTTCTTGTGGTACTGGATTTTTTTTTTAGGTTTTTTTTTTTATTAGTATATGTTTGCAGTATGTAATGTTTACATTCATTGTGGGGAGTTGGTATATGGAGAGTTGGTATATGGGAGTTGGATTATTACATCTTCATTCTATTTCCATCCCCCACCTCTCTCTCCCCCATCCCTCCATCTCTTGATTCCTTTCCCATATGAGAAAAATCTATCTTCCTATCCATTCATCTGCTGGTGGAAGTATATGTTGCTTCTACCACTTAATTATTATGAATTACTCTGCTATACACATGGGTATGCATGGATCACTGTAATATGATGTCTTTAACTCTTTTAGAAGATACCTAAAAAAGGAATTGCTGGCTCAAATGGAATGGTTTTAGTTTTTTGAGGAATCTTTATACTGATTTCCATTGTAATTGTACTAGTTTACATTCCCATCAACAATGTAGATGGGTTCCCTTTTCCCACAGCCTCTCCAGCCTTTGTTATTATTTGATTTCTTAATGATAGCCATTCTTTCTGGGGTAAGGTAGAATGTCACTTTTTTAATTTTCATTTCTCCAGTAGCCATTGATGTTGAACATTTTTCATGTATTTGTTGGCCATTTTAATTTTTCTGAGAAGTGTCTATTTAACTTGCCCATTTATTTTTATTTATTTATTTTTATGTATTTAGTACAGGAACTACAGTATCTCAGTATGTAGATCGGACTCATAGTGATCCTCCTGTTTTCAGCCTCCCAAGCACTGGGATTACAGACGCATGCCAGCATATCCAGTCTCATTCATTGTCTCAGTGTGCCCGGGGGCCAGGCTGGCACTGCAGGCCAGGGATCTAACCCTGGTCCATGTATCTGCCTAAGCAGGTGCTTTAATCTGCTGAGCTAACTGGCTGGCCTTGCCCTTGTTTTGTTTTGTTTTTTTGATTGGGAGTCTTTTACTTTGAGGAGTCTAATTTTTTGAGTTTCCTATATAGCCTAGATATATCAGTCCTCTGTGTGAGTGACATAAAAGACAAGGCATGGCTTAGACTGGCTCAGAAGAGAGGCATGGCAGGATCCAGGATCTACCCAGCAGTGCCTCTCAGGACTCTATATGTAGAGCTTCTTCCAGGCTCCCATGAGATGTGGATGACATATAAGGACACAGAAACTATGAGGAGCCTGCTATTGTGTCTCTTTCATGGTAGCCCACCCTATGTCTTCCAGATTAAGGTGTACATTTATTTTTTTGTTTTTCTCTTTTCCTCTCTTGTTGACCTCAAATTTGCCCCAAAGAGCCTATTTTTTCCTCTCTCTTCACTTTCAAACAAACTTTTGGCACTGTAGCAGAAAATGCCCCCTCACAGCCAGTATACTTCAGTTTCTTAGTTGCCCAGTTCCTGTTCCCGATCCAGTAGCTTCTGTCTCTCAGAAATGACTGGTCACTGTGACATAGCTGGTCACTGTGATATACACCATATAAACCAATACCCAACTGACAAGCCATTCTGCCTCTGTACTTCCTGCCTGTTTTTCCCATATGAGTCCTATACTGCCAGAGATTGGGACCAGATTTTCTGGGAATGATCCCCATCAGTGCCTGTTGATATAAATAAGTCTGTATCCAAATCCTAGGCATTGCTGCAGTGTTTCTGCTTGCCGTTGCATCTTGTGCATCAGCCAGGAAAACTAATCATGCTGACCTCTTTGATCACCAGTCGTGGCCCTTGCAGATGGAGCAAGGCCCTCTCCAGATCCCTACAGGAAGGTGCACCCTGGAGATGTTTTGACTCCCCTTGAAAGTCTGGAGGGAGATTCCTGGCTCCCTGCTTGAGCAGCTCTCATTGGACCCCAAAGAGAGGAGGTTATGTTCTGTCCGTCTGTCTGCCTGCCTGTCTGAATCCAGTAATATCCTCGGGGCACCCCAGGATCAGTCTTCCAGTCCTGCTCAGTTCAAACAGAAGAGCTTGCTTACCTCTTGTTAGTTAAGGCTACCCTTATGGAAAGAGGATATTAGAATATTTAACCTCTGAGTGCCTGCTGAATGAATGTATGAGCAAGTAGACCAGGCAGCGTAAGCAACCAGCTGTTCCACCGGTGTACCAGGACTGGGAAACACTGGTTGAGATGGTTGATTAGGCTTTCACCTGTGGTTCTGTGGTGATCAATATATGGCATAATGGAGGCCTCACACCCTGCTTAGCTAAGTTGATCCTAAGTTCCCACAAGGTACATG